AGGGTCATCCAAGAGTCTTATCCTCTTCCTCTTGGAAAAAGTCAACACCCACGTCATCATTTGATCGAATGGAGAGCACCATAACTGCCTCGCCTGTTGAGAAGAGGATATCGGCTCCAACAGACAAGCCACTTAAGTACTAATATCTCGCCCAAATCTGTTATGAGACGCCTATAAATTGTAAGCCCACCAATACTTGGGGGGCAGATCACACTCAGTTGAGCACGACTCTCTCATCTCCCTCTCTAATTCTTTACTCTCCTGCATACTTGAGTTAATAAAATAACCGGCAACCTTAGCTATTCAAAAGTGGACGTAGATCACTTTGACCGAACTACTATAATTCTCGTATTCTCTCTACTTTAATTATTACATTTATTACTTATACTTGACAGGTGGTATGCAAACTCATTTTGTGCATCATCAAAACCCAAAAAAAAGGATCAACTTCAAATTTTCTTGATTAGGAATCAATAATTCTTATAGATACCACTTTGCAATTTATCGTCATGATTTTTATTTTATTTTATTTGTGCGGGGATAATTTTGCACTATAAGTCACCATTTCTTACGGTCGGAGAGAATGGTGAAGAAGTCTTGAGTAACCTGTAAGACAAGAGAACACCTAGGATAACCGATGACCAGAAGTGGTCAAAAAGGCCCCGATACTAAGCCAGATCACAAATCGAAGGAAAGTAAGGAGTCAGTACACTAGGATTGAATCCATTACATGGTATCTAGAAGTCTTTATTTGGAGTGATAAGAAGTTATGTCCCAAAGGAATCCAAACTCTATATTGATTGACCCGACTTGGTCACCAAGTCCTAGAAATATAGGGTAGAGTCAAGGGCGTAAGGAGGCTTGGGCTAGGGTGGGCACGTGCCCCCCCTAAAAAAAAAATTTTTTTTTAGTCAAGTATATATGTTATATATTTGTATAGTATATTATTTGTGCTCACCCAAAATCTGAGATAAAAATATTAGGCCCACATTATTTACCCAAAAAATTAAAAAATTAAACTCATTTAAAACAAAAAAATTGAGCCTACTATTATCTATCCAAACTTATTAAAAAATTAAATATTTGACCTATCACAATCCACTCAAACATTTCTCTCTCTCTCTCTCTCGAACATGGCATACACGCGCACACTGACTACACTATGCACACAANTTCTCTCTCTCTCTCTCTCGAACATGGCATACACGCGCACACTGACTACACTATGCACACAAAATAAATTAGTTTTTTATTTTTAAAATTTTGAATTAATTAGTCTTGGTAATTTTTTGTTTTTTTTGTGAATTTTAATTTTTAACCACAATATATATTTTGTGCATTTTGTCCTTATTTAAATTTTTATTCATTTTCCCTAATTTGTTTTTTTTTTTTTTTGCATTTTTTCCTAATTTTTTTTTGATTTGTTATAGTTCGGATTAGTAATTGGGGACGCCTTGAAGACCTTGAGTTGCGGTTATTGAGTCGACCTATTTTTTGGTAACTCTCAATTTGAACCTATTTTTAGTACTTTGAATGATATTGCTTGANGCATTTTTTCCTAATTTTTTTTGATTTGTTATAGTTCGGATTAGTAATTGGGGACGCCTTGAAGACCTTGAGTTGCGGTTATTGAGTCGACCTATTTTTTGGTAACTCTCAATTTGAACCTATTTTTAGTACTTTGAATGATATTGCTTGAATTTATTAAAATTATGAATTGGATATTTTTATGCATTTGTACTTGTATTTACTTCCTAATACTATATATTATTGATATGCACTTTAGTATTGAGTTTTCAAATTTGTTAGAGATTGAAGATCTTGCTCAAAAAATGGTTGAAACAAAAAAACACGTGGTATACCCATTGGTCTACTTATTTGTGACATTGACATTGATTTTGTCAGTTGCGACTGTCACAGTAGAGAAAGCATTTTCGGCTATGAAGATTGTGAAGAATCGATTGTGTAATCGAATGGGCGATCAATGGATGACAGATAACTTGATTGTGTACATAGAGAAAGATATTTTTGATTGCATTAATAACAATGTTATCATGCAACGCTTTCAAAATATGAAATCACGTCTTGGTCAATTGTAAAAAACTATAGTTAGTCTCGTTTTTTGTAAAGGGGTCTAATTAGAAAATTATTTTGCAGATTTTTTTGTTTTTGTACCTCATGTATATCGATTTTTGGCTATTTTGTCAATGAAATTTTAGGTATTGTATATGATTTAAAAAATTTATTTGTTTTTAACTTTAATCCTTAAGAAGATAAATTTTTAAACTTATAGTTAGTGCCCCCCACATATAAGTTCCTGGCTCCGCACCTAGGTAGAGTTAGATTAGGACTCTTCGTCTTGGGTCCTTATCACAGCTCCTGATTGCTCGGAGTTGCATTTTACTTAGACTTTAACTCCTTGGTGCCTCATCACCAACTCTTAGGTATTTAGAGTGGTATTAGATTAGGACTCCAGGTCCTAGGTTGTACCTTAATTGAATAGAACTCGTATAGCAGAAGCAGGCAAACAAAAAGAGACTTTGTAAAGTACCTCTTAGCAAGTAGAGTGTTTGTCGGTCGATAATACACTGGTGGTTGCTACTAGTGCCTACCCAAGCATGACCCACACGGCCCATTTGACTGCCACTTGTACTTACCGGTCGACACTGTTGCTGGTCAGCACTAGCAAGGTCAAAGAAGCCCCCCACAATTGCCCCCATGCCTTATCTACTAGATGGAATTATTTGAGGTATGTTTTCAGAGGACTTAGGTTTTTTGGGTCTTCATTGCTTAAAGGGTTAGGGCTTTTCTTGCCTAAGAAGCTTAGGACTTCTCTTGCCTAAGAAGCTTAGTTCTTTAGTCATCTACGATGTTTAGGGCTTTAGTTTTCTTCTCTTCTCCTCTTTACTCTCTTCCCTTTATGTCATTCACTTGGTTCAAATGTTGGAGCTTGACTGATAGAGGAAAGGGAGAAGCATTTATTGTTACTTGTACAAGGGGCTGACTAACTTTACTCATAAGCTAGTCGAGCGATAAGAGTTACTCGAGAGTCAAGGTGAGTCTGATGGGTCATATCTAATTTGGGAGGACGTTTAATGGTCTTAGAGTGACTTCCCGATTCCTAATATCATCGAAAAGTTCCTTGGTGGTGGTGGTTCGAGTTTTCTAACACTTGTGCCTCCTATTCTTACCAAAGGAAGAGAGTCACCATGTGTTAAGGTGTTTGATGTCCGAATGTGACAAATCCTTAAGAAAGGCTATGTTGAACAATCATAGAGGTTGTTGGTCATCCGTGGAAGACTGAGTAACTTAAAGAACAATCTTAGATAATAATCAACAAGAATAAAAAATAAATATTTTTGAAGACTTATTGAAATAATAAGGCATTGTTGACTACGCTAAAAGTAAAATTTAGTTATCTAGTTGGTCATTTAATTGAATTTGTTGATATTCCTGCTCATTGGTCATTTTTTCCTTGTCAATATATCGAGAGAGGTGACCTTACCTGTCCAACTCTTCTAGGTGACGCCTGAGTGCCCAGTAATTCTACATATAATGGCCTTTATCCTTGTGATAAGAACAATTGAGGTTTTGATCCCACTTTAATAGATCTCCTATCATCTTAGTTGGCCACCCAAAACCCATAACCCTCACTATTGAAACCCACAACCCACCCCCACCATCATAACCACCGAAACCCACTACCCACCCTAGAAACCCACTCCTAAAACTCCCCAGCAAAACCCACTACACATCCTTGAAACCCACCACCACCCCCAAAATCCAATCTTAAAACTTACCAACAAAACCATCAGAGAAGGGCGAGAGAGAGAGAGAGACAGTGAGTCGAGAGAGACCAAAGACGAGATGAAGTAATGCTTCGCAATGATTGGCGATTGGCTTCGGCTTCGTCATTGGCATCAAGAGAAAGATGGTAGAGAAGACAGAGAGGGGTGAAAGAGATGACCTTTTATACTCAAGCAAAAAAAAGATGTTTTTTGTTGCTAAGGAGGATCGAATCCAAGACCTTATTAAATCTCCTTCTAAATCGCGAGTGTTTTTTTTTTTTTTTTATGTTTTCAAAAACATCATTTTGGATGTTTTCAAATTTTAGTCTTGTTTTTAAAACGGAGATATTAAAAAAAAACAAAAACATTCGACAAATATATTTTTATTTTTTTTAGCCATAAAATGAAAACCAAAATGAACAAAAAACAAAAATCGCCTGTTATCAAACGCGGCCTTAGTATTTGTATTTGTGTTTATTTTAGTTTATTGTTGTTGCTATTGGTTTAGGAAAAAATAAATACTCAATTCAATAAGTATTTATTTATAACTCCTTTTAACCCATTTTAATGAAGTTGACTCATATTACTCAATTATTTACAACCCACATAAAATAAAACAAATGTTCGATACATGGATAAGTTGGGGGATTGATAGGTAATTGGTGAATATTGTGACTCCTAGTTAACGAAATGTATTAACGAATTTGTAGTTTAATGATACTTTTTATTTTATGAAATCGTTCTCTTCGTCCTCTCCTCTTCAAAAAAAAAAAAAAAAAAGTTAACAAGAGGTTGAATTTTGCATGATACCAAAAACATTCAAAGATTAAATTTTTTGTTTGAACGGATCAAAATGGTCAAAAAAAATTTATTTTTTAAGGAGAATAAAAGGAATAAATAATTGAGAAGGAAATTAATTAAAATGTGCCTAAGCTGTCCTAATACATTTTACCGTCAAACCCAAAAAAAAAAAAAAAGTGGAAGGATTGCTCCTATTGTCAAACCCCCAATTGTCAGTCTTTGGAGAGTGTTTTGTGATAATTCAGGCAAAATCTTTAGCAGAAAAAGCAATGAAAAACAATTCAAAGCAAAGAGACAATAATCACAAGTCCCAAATGCTCAAAGAATTTCCTTTTCTCCTCTGTTATTGTATTCATCTGAATAATTCAAAGAGTTGCACAAACAATCAAAGAGTAGAACAAAAAATTACAATCAATAATGAAAATCTCTCAATTCCTGTTGAAGAGCTTCTTCTAACAAGAACGGCGATTGTTCCATTAGATCAGGACTCAATCTAAACATGAGAACACAAAATTCCATCTGATTGAGAGCCCCATCACCATCAAAATCACCCTCTTTTAGCATACTCCGAAGATCATCATCGTTCAAATCCTGCAAACCCAACAAGGCAGAGTTTTTCTTGAGACTATCGAAGGTGATGACCCCTTTATCACCGTCCATTAATAGTTGAAACCCATTACATAGTTCACTGATTAGGCCATCCCCACCTAATTTATCAGCCATGATGGGCAAGAAATCTTCAAATTGAGATTGAATCTTGGACGCCATTGTAGAAAGAGAGAGAAAATTTGAGAGGGATGTGGGTTTGTTGGGGGATGAAGAGGGTGGTGGGTGATATATACCAGAGAGAATAGACGATGTTTTGGTGGTTCGGAGAAGGAGAGAGGGAGAGAGGGGTCATGGGAAGACAACTCATGTACAGATAACGCGAAGGTCGGTTTACTTGGTTTGGTTCGTCCAGCAATTGCCTGGCACTTTCGGGGAAGGTCTGGAGGGGTATGGTTGTCCATTCAGGAGGAAACCAGGAGGAGACTCGGCCAAACAAGGAAAAGAACAACAATTTTAAAAATGGAGAAAAGGAAAGCAGGAGGAGAGTACGACGCGGGGAGAGATGGTTTCCACGTAACCCAAAACTCCACAAAGTCACGTAGGGTCGTCAACTGATTACAACTATTAGTGGATTCCGTTAAATTCTATAACTATTAATGACTCGGTAAAATATATTTTTAGTTTTTAAAATATGTGTACAATTTTTATTTAGCCTCTAATTTGTAATTTTGTTTCAATCTCAAAACGTTCATCAAAAAAGCGTTAATGCCTCTAGTCAGGCGCTAATCATGTGAGACTAAATATATACAAATTAAAAATTATAGGGATCAAATAAATACAAAATTAAGAACCAAGTGAATAGTGTGTGATCGGAATCGTCACGATTTTTTGACGAATAGTTGAAATTGGATCACATAAATACAAATTAGGAATCTTGGGGATCAAATAAACATAATTAAAAGATTAGTGACTAAATAGACACTAAACACATACTTTAGAGACAAAAAGTGTATTTTATCCTTAATAATTTTTACATTTAAAACTATCATGTGAAGTTAGTGGAGTTTAATTGTACTATTTAGATATTTATATAGATCAGTTACAGTACGTAACAGTGATAACATAGTGTAATCGATTACATTGAATATTTTCTCACAAAAGCGGTACCCATGTCATTAGTCTTAAAAAAAATCGTGACGCTCCACTTTACTTTTTTATTTTTTTGTTAAGAAATGATAGATGAGCGTCTATTGACATCAAAACAAAGATAATGATGTGGCTTATATTAAGAGTAACACTCACCATTACTTAAGGGTGAATTATATTAAGAGTAATGCTATTTGAAACAAAAAATTTGATCTAATTTGATGACATAATGATGTGACTTCATAAGAATCATTGGATCAACACCTAGTTCCAATATTTGATGGGACTTACAGTCAATCCAAAAGTCACAGTGAATTAGGTCAACAAATTATGTCAATAAATTAGGTCTTAATAGCATTGCTCTTATATTAAACTATCGTTATGAGTTTCACTTATTGAACCCTATTTTCTATGATTTCAAAAATTATAGAAAAATCATGAAGATTTAATCAAGTAATGCTCCATTGCCGATCCACCAAATTCTCCTTCTTATTGAGAGATGTTTTAGAGGATATAGGTCATAAACATCCTTTGGGACACGACTGGTTTCTTTTATCCCATTTTAATAGATTAATCATTTGATCCATACCCCAACTTTTTAATGAATTAAAAGAGAGCAATTTAAGCATTCACAAACTATAAGCAATGAGGACTTCCTTACACAACTAGAATAGAGAGTAAATAAGTAAAACTACCATCCCCCAAGTAAAATTGAAGACCTCTTTTTCCTCGACCATGAACCAAGTTGCACTTTCATTTAGTTCTATATACATATCAAGTGTGTGTGAATAAGTAACAGACTTGAATCCCCTATCGAGGTTGTAGTATTGTTATGGTTTCAGTATCACCTCTGGAGAAGAACTCTTCACTTCTTGATACTACATCCTGGTCATTGGAACTCCTTCCGGAAAAAAAACCAGGCTGTTTGGGTTGAGGCAACACCAGTCCCTCATTGCCCAACATGAAAACTACAGAAGACATTTCTGGCCTGTCTTGAGGAAGTTGTTGAACGCATAGTAGGCCAACATGGATACACCTCTGCATTTGAAACTCGACAAATGAGTTCCTCAAGCATTCATCGATTAGTTCCAAGGCCCTATCTTGATTCCAAAGCAACCATGCCTAAAATAATTACCATAGTCTGATGAGATTTTTTTTTTTTTTTATCTTTGGCTCAGCAAGTCAGCATACATATGGCACATCCATGAACAGCACTAAAATGCAAACTCAAAGGAAAGAGACGAGGGGGAGAGAGAGGTGGAATTTTTTTGTAGTACTTACATGCCCTAGAAGGTTGTGGTGATGAACTAGATGATGAAAACCTCTGTTCCTTTTACCACTTACTATCTCTAATAAAAGCACACCGAGACTGAAGATATCGGACTTCATAGAGAATTTTCCATCTATTGCATACTCTGGAGACATATAGCCACTGCATGATTTACCAACCATAAGATCTTCTAAATGATGAACATGGTTTTTTTAGTTTAAGTCAGTAGAACTTACTATGTTCCAATAACTCTTTTTGTTTTTGTGAAACTTTTGTCTCCACAGAAAATCCTTGCTAAGCCAAAATCTGAGATTTTGGGGATGAGATCAGTATCCAGTAGAATATTGCTAGCTTTGAGATCTCTGTGAATAATTTTCAATCTAGAATCTTGGTGGGGATAGAGAAGTCCTCGTGCGATCCCCATAACTATGTCAAAACGCTTTGGCCAAGCCAAAGATGCACTTCTACTCTGATCTGCACAATATCCACCATTTGTAAACATTATGCTGGTAATAGAACAAATCCAAAAGATAGAGAATTTTGAGGGCCAAACCAAAAATAAAAAAATCCAAGCTTTTGTTGTGCATGTACTCATAGATCAGCATCCTTTCTTCTCCTTGAATGCAGCATCCCAAAAGCCTGATAAGATTTCTATGTTGGAGTTTGGCAATCGAAACAACTTCATTTTTAAACTCTTCGAGACCTTGTCCTGAATTCTTTGACAGCCTTTTCACTGCTATTTCTTGTTGGTTTGATAATTTTCCCTGTGCGTATGATATATAAGATGCACAATTATACAAGACAATATCTTGTTCACTGAAGAACTGCACATGTACAATGTTACCTTGTAAACTGGACCGAAACCACCTTCTCCGATCATATTTGCCTGAGAGAAGTTATTTGTTGCAGCAGCAATAGTTGCCAAACCAAAAGAAGGTAATTCCAAGTAGTCGTTCTTCTGTTTGAAGGCTGAAATTGGATTAAGTTATATTTTGCATAAAAACTCCCAGAGATGAGTTAATATCTTAACACTTATGCTCAATTATAAAACTGCTATCCAAAGTTAGTAGACAAATCAGTATCCTTACCTCTTCTCTTTGTTGTTATTTTCATAAATATGCACCCACATACAAATATCAAAACAAGCAGTCCTGAAATGCACAGTGCCACTAGGATCTTCACAAGCCTTTTCTTCTTCTTTGAATGATTGAGGTATTCTACAAACGAAGAAGATAGGTTAATATATTTTTACATTTCTCTGAAAGAGGGAATAAATCCATGATTCCTGACAAGTTGTTTTGTTATTAGATTTGCACAATTTTTTAATAAATTCCCATTGTTCACCAATGATCTTAACTGATTCCTTGATCTAGTGGCAAATTGATACTCAAGTCCTACTTCTTGCTGAACAATTAAAGAACTTAGATTCGGCACATACCTAATTCTGAAGAGGGCAAGCGTAGATGGATATCTTGTTCACTTGCTTCTGAGGTGAACGCCCGGATGTCCACCAAATCCCCGAACCACATCAAACAGCCACTACCTCCTGCACTGATATAGGAATTAGCATAAGCCATACAAGAACAGTTTTTTAAGCACTGTGCCTTGCACTCATCGACGTTCATACTAGTGTTTAGCTGGAACTCCAACAGGTCGGGCAATTTGACCCCTGCTACCTTCGCAAAACCTTCTCCAATCTGGCAGCCTAATGGTACTTTTCTCACACGTCCCTTGGACCACTGAAGCATTTCCCATTCTTGTGGCGATTTGGGAGTGAATCCAACCAAACACTCACAAATCGGAGACTATTCAATCCTGCAAATACTATTAGGACCACATTGTGCATAGCTGTCACATTGGTCTTTTGGTGTGGTGGTAATCAGAGTCCATTTTGTGCTCGTTTCATCCATTAGATAGCGGTGGATTACGCCTGATAGATCCAAAAATAATCTTGTAACAACTGAGGAGTTGTAAGACTCAGAGATAGAAATCAACATATTCCCACTAAAGTTCTGTGCGTGCAAGATTCTGCACAATATAAAAAACGAAAACAGATATCTCCCTTGGTGAACTTCGAGTGAGCCCGTTGAATGATCAAACACGCTGCTTGGGACACCCCGCAAGGTACGGTGGCAACCTGAAACGGCGATGGGAGATCTTGGGAACGGAAGAGTGATCCAGTAAGGATGAAAGAGGTTCCTGGAATAAAGAAGAACAAGTTAGAAGGGCGCCGGAGTGTTTTCCGGCGTATCCCCTCCGACGATCAAGTCAGTCTTTGAGAAAGAGAGAGGAAGGAGAATACACTGAGAATGTATTGTGGTAGAGAGTTCGTTCATGCATACCTGCTTTGCCTTTTGCAAGGAGTATTTATACCTTAAAAACTCATGATTGCTGTCAGTGTGGTCAGTAGGTGATCATTA